ATAAACTTATGAGAATAAATGATATGAGAACAATTTACCTATTTGGGGAGATTACAGTAGTGTTCTCTTATGCCATATACCAAACTACTTAGATTGATTAAAACGAAACATGTAAATAAAGGGGGGAAAAGTTAAAAATCTAAAAGAAAAAATGTATATGTAAGTCTTTCTAAACATAATGCTAAAAGTAAGAAACTTAAAGCCTTTAAGCTTTTAAATATTAAAATGTTTTAAATATTCTTAAAATATTAAACCCTTGAAATAAAAATCAAACAAAAGTAAATCTTGCACCCCAGTGATTTTTGCAGCACTATTTACAATAGCTCAGACATAGAAGCAATCTAAACAGGGGAAAGGATAAAAAAGATGTGGTACATATATCCAATGGAATATTACTCAACCATAAAAAAGAACAAAATAGTGCCATTTGCAGCAACATGAGTGGACCTAGAGATTATGATACTAAGTGAAGTAAGTCAGAGAAAGACAAATATAATATGGTATCATTCATGTGTAATCTAATTTTAAAAAGGATGTTGCTGGTCAGTCACTAAGTTTTCTGACTCTGCCACCCCATGGACTGCAGCACACCAGGCTTACCTGTCTTTCACCATCTCCTGGAGTTTGCTCAAAACTTATGTTGACTGAGTCAGTGATACCATCGAACCATCTCATCTCTCATATTAAAAAAGATACAAATAAACTTATTTATAAAACAGAAACAGACTCACAAATTTCTAAAACAAACTTATAGTTACCAAAGGGAAAATGTTGGGGGGAAGGGATAAATTAGGAGTCTGGGATTAACATACATAAAATACACACACTACTACTATAAGATAGATAACCAACAAGGACCTACTGTATAGCACAGGGAACTCTACTCTGTAGAGTAATAATATTCTGTAATAATGTACACGGGTAAAGAATCTGAAAAAGAATGCATATCTGTATGTCTATAATTGATACACTTTGCTGTACCCCTGGAACTAACACAACAGTGTAGATCAACTATACTTTAAAAATAAAAGAGTACCAAAAAAAGTAAATCTGCTTGTTATAGGGTTAGCTCTTAGATCTTTTAGAATATGTTAAAATATAGGATAAAGTCCTCCTTGGGTTCTGTTCAGACTGTAATGGTCTTGGCAGGACAGTGGGAAAATGGGCAGGACAGATGTTAAAAAGTGGCCTGGGGCTGCACTTCCCCCAACAGTGCCATCTCATTACAAAGGAAGTTGAGACTTGGAGGAGGAGAATGGAAAGAATCTGTCCAGGATACTCCTGCTGCCTGTGCTTTGTAAATGATAATACAATTCATCCTTGGTAGTAGACCGCTGGTGCCTAGGGTGGTGGGATTTCCAGGGGGGGTTCTTTCTCATGCATGTGTAGCTCTGCAAATTGTTTCTGTTTTGTTTTGCTTTGCCCAGATCCTGTGGGAAGGCAGTAACGTTCATAAGTAATGTTTTAGACTTTTTATAGGAAAATAGACTTTATAGGAAAGCTTTTCTGGAAGTTCTTACTAGAAAGGGAAGGCAAGCAATAGTAGTATTTCTACAAGAAGAAAGGACTCACCCTTTGGTGTCCACCTGAAACCATCACAACGTTGTTAGCTGTATTTCAATATAAAATAAAGAGTTCAAGAAAAAAAAGGACAAAGGACTCAGGGCAATTTAGTGATTTCTCCTGAATGTGGTTTGGGGTCAAGAGACAGAAATAGAAAGCAATGGTTATTACAAAATATTGAATATAGTTCTCTATGCTATACAGTAAGTCTTTATTTATCTGTTTCATATATAAGAGTGTGTATATGTTAATCCCAAACTGCTGACTTATCCTTCACCCTCTTTCCCCGTTGGTAACTGTAAGCTTGTTTTCTGTGTCTGTGAGTCTATTTCTGAGGTTTTTTTTCCTGTTTTGTAAATAAGTTCACATATCATTTTTTAGATTCCACATATAAATGATATTATATGGTATTTATTTTTCTCTGTTTGACTTACTTCACTTAATATGATAATCTCTGGGTCCATTCATGTTGCTGCAAGTGGCATTATTTCAATTCTTTTTATGGCTGAGTATTATTCCATTGTATATGTCCACATCTTTATCCATTCCTCTGTCGATGAACATTTAGGTTCCTTCCATGTTTTGGCTATTGCATATAAATTAGGTATGTATATGTGTGATATATATAATTGAATCACTTTGCTGTGCACCTTAAACTAACACAACATTGTAAGTTAACTGTTAAATCTTGAAAAAAAAATTTGTAATTAAAAAAAGGAGGGAGCAGTAGAATTGCTAGGTCAGAGTTCATTTGCTCACATTTGGAATTTTAATAGATGTTGCTAACCTGCTGTCTGTGGAGATACCTATCTATAGTTCCCCAGTGATGTTAGGGAATTCACTGGTGGTCTAGTGGTTAGGACTCCCTACTTTCACTGCTGGGGCCTTGGGTTCAATCTCTGGTTGGGGAACTAAGATCCTACAAGCTGCAAGGCGTGGCAAAAAGAAAAAAAAAAAATCAAAGATATTTGACTAACACTCTGTGGCAAACATTCTGATCTTTGTCAGTCTGATAAAACATCTGGGTAAAGTCATTTCATAACTGAGGTTGAGCACTGTTTCAGGAGTCACCAGATTTTCCTTTTTGGGGAATCAGAGCATCACAGAGCTAGAAGAGACCTTAGAGATGAAGTCCAGCCATTCAGCCTACATATGGGGAACCTGTTTGACCCCAGTCACTTGAGTAATCCATGACTGAAGCCAGATCAAACCCTGTATCTCTTGTTTATCATAACAGCTCTCTGGCTGAGTGTCAGACAGCCCTGGAAAGGTCTCTGGAGCATTCTGGGTTTGGCTCCAGAGCCAGGAAGCTGAGAATTACAGCTCGGAATCACAACATGATGACTGTGAGGCCAAGTGCTTTAACCTACCCTGAACTTCAGGTCCCTCATATGTAAATGGAGTTAATATTATTGGCCTTTTTGTCAGTTTTCAAAGATTAGGTTCATGTAGATAAAGTAGCTGACCCAGTCATCTCACAACTGTCATCCACCTCCTCGTGTTTTGTTATCTGACTTCCCCACCCACATGTAAGCCCCCAGGGACACTCACACTAACATTCTCAACAGTATAAGTAACTTGCCATAGAGTGATGGAGAGGATTCTGTGTGGGGCGGGCTCCTCCGGGAGCCCCTGTAGTCCAGACCATTGCCCTGCATACACCCTTGACTTAGTTATGGCTTTTTCTGGCTTTGCCATCAGTGTCTTGGTTATTCTTTGGAGCTATTTTATGAACAAGAAGACATCACACCCATACTGACCCCTGAGGACCTGAGAAGAAAGCTCACACTCTTTATCACTCACTCTTTGCTTTTTAGGGTCTGATTTCTAAGAAGTTCCTCTGTTCAAATTTTCCAGGAAACTTGAAAAGCTTCCGTATGGCCAAAGGAGAGACAACATGTGTGCTGACTAGCTTGGGTCATGAGACCCACTGTCAAAGCAGGAAGGAGGAACAGGAAGAGAGGAGGGACGGGAATTACTGAAAACTTGTTATTTTCAGAAGGGAATTACTGAAAACCAGTTATTTTCAACACACAGCCTAGGTGATCTGAGGATTGCCAGGAGTCAAGGCTTTAAAGACGGGTATTATTTTTGCTGTTGCTAGTCAGTTCATTTCATTATGCGTAACCCTTCTTATATTCTGAAAGAGAATAAAATCAAATGCAGGACTGGTCCCAGGACAGGGGCTAACTCAGCCTTCCTTTCTGGAGGCCCTGGAGGGCTCTCCTTCCCCTTCTCAGCTCCTCAGGAGCATCCTTTTTGTTGGCATCCCGGACAACCCCTCACCCCAGGTGGAAGGGCTAGAGAGGCTTCCTAAATCCCTTCTCCGTCACTTCTGTCCCCCCACCCTCACTCACCATCTTAGTTAAAATCAAGTGAAAATTCTACCTGCTCTGAAAATGAATGAGAAAGTTCACTCTTTGGGACCCATCTGTTCTACTCTCAATTCTAGTGATTCTCCAAGAGTGGTTCTCAGACCATCTGAGCATAATCTTCTAGATGCCTATTGAAAATGCACACTCTTAGCCTCCCTCCCCTGTAGAAACTCTGGGGGTGCAACTCAGAAAAGCACATTTGCAACAGGCAGCCCCAGGAGTCCATTAAAGTTTGGAACCCCAAACTTTGGAACCCCATTATTCTGCACCAATTCCTTATTTCTTTCCCTTCTCTCTGTTTCCCCTCATCTTCTCTTTCCTTATTCCCTGTGACTCTTGCTCACCTGTCTCCTCCCTTCCTCCTTCTTAATGTCAAGGCTTCAGAGTAGCCCACTGAACTATTTTTTTTACCTTTTATTGGAGTATAGTTCATTTACAATATTTATTAGTCTCAGGTGTACAGCAAAGTGAATCAATTAATATATATACACATATATCCACTCTTTTTTAGATTCTTTTCTCATATAAGTCACTACAGAATATTAAGTAGAGTTTCCTCTACTCTATACAGTAGGTCCTTAGTAGTTATCTATTTATACATAGTAGTGTGTATGCATCAGTCCTGATTTTTTAACATATTCAAGTCCCTGAGAAACTCAGCGAAGAGGGAAAAAAGAAGGTATATATTTCTTACTGCCTTGTTTGTCCCCATAAAAGAAGGGTAGACATGAAGCTACCTTCTCCAAGCCCCACCTTTGGGAAATGCATCATTCTTTAAAGTACACACAGGCATCCCTTGCAGTATAGGAGAAAAACTTAGAGGTTGGCAGTATCCTTTAGAGAAACAGTACTGGTGTGATGTCCCAGGGGGGCCAGTGAGTACCTGCCTCAGATCGGACACCTGGGTCCCCTCACTGGATGGCACAGGTGATGAAGGCATTGAAGGAGATGGAGCCAATTGGACAGGAAGTGGGGGAGAAGGGAGGTGATCAAGGAGGGTGTCTGCACAGAGCTGGGGGCGAGTGCCGCCAAGGTCCTGAAACTCTGCTTTTGTTTTCACAGCTTCTACAGAAAGAGACCAAGATGAACACAGAGGTGAGTTCTCTAAGAGGACCGATTGAAGGATGCTTTTCTTACAGCATACTTCATTTCTCCTTCACAGAGCGTCTTCCCCTCCAGAGCTTTCATAAACATCAGCACAAACTTGAAAACGTGTCCCCTGCATCCTGCCACGCACATGGCTCCGGGTGATACGGGAAGAATTCGGCCCCTCTGAGCTCTTATCTGTGCCTGTCCAGCTTCAGTTAGATTAGAATTTATCTACCTCAGTTAATCCTGAAACAACACTCGTGGGCTGGGGTGGAGTGGGCTACAATGGAGTGTGGCAGCTGCTGGGCCCTAATGTCATTCTGGGAACATTAACTCTGCTTCTAAGGATCTTCCTCTGCATCATCTCCTTGTATTCTCACTACCACTGAACCTGTTCTGCAATCCAGCGAGCTGCCTCGTTTCTTGGTACCTTTGTTTTTTCCTGACCAATCAGCCCTTTCTGCTTTCACTCCCTTCAGGTCCAGCCTAGACCCTGGAGTCCTCTCTTCCACTACGACTGTGCTCATGCTCCCAGCTCCTTTCCCCTTGTCCTCTTGATCCTGCATGGCCATCCTAGAGACCATGCCCAGAGGATGGTGGTCTTGGGTGAGTGGCACAGTTTCGTGCTATTTGCAGCTGACAAACTTCTCAAAACCCTCATCTGGGTACTCAGCATGCCCACCAGGCCCCCTCCTTGGCCCCCAGAGAGCTCTTTCCCTCTGCCCTGAATAGCCAGGTCTGGTCTTCCTCACTCCTCCCAGCTCCTTCCTCACTCTTAGCTTCTGATCACCTTTTACTTTGTGGAGAAAAATTGGAACCATCAGACATCATCTCTTGTCAATTTCTGCCTCCCCATCTGGCTTGTTTTTCTTCCTAGAGGAAGGTTTGTTTATCAGTGAGAGAGTTCCAGACTGCGAGTAAAGAAAATCCCAATTCAATGTGGTTTTTGTGCTGGAAGTCCAGATGGAGGGCAGGCTCCAGAGCAAGTTGATCCAGTGGCTCAGCCATCTCAACAAAGATCCAGGATCTTTTCATCTCTTTGCTCTCATCCAAGTGTTGGCTTCATCTGGGAGATAGTGGCCCTCATGGTTATAGGATGGCTGGCAGCAGCGGTTGGGGCTACATGCATCCTCATTCACTCTGAGTGGGAGAAAGAGATGGATTCCTGCAGCTCTCCCCGAAGAATGGGAGCCTTCTTTCTTGAAGTTCCAAGTGCCTTTTTAGGCCTCATTGGCCAGATCTGGGTCACATGTCTGTTCCTGGACCAATTACTGTGTCAGAGGAGCCAGGATTTTGCCAACTAGCTTAGATTAATCAGGCTCAGCTAGAGCATCTTCTCCTCTACCCCAGAGCTGGATCTGGGAAGAAGAAAGGGAAATGAAACTTCAGGAAAGGACCTACTGCATCACATCACAGATATTTCTTGTGAATGTGGGTCAATTGAAAAAAATGCAAAGTCGAGAATTATGTTTTATGGGAAAACTTACTGAGAACTTAAGCCTGGGCTGCAGTTTCTGTTATAGCTCTGAGGGACTGCTCTAAAGAGGTAAGGGACGTGCCAAGGATATATAGAAGTTTTTGCAAACAAACACAAAAAACAAAAAAACAGGTAGTTGGAAGGTAATCAAAAGATTACTATTAATTAAAGGAAAACAATTATCTCAAATTAATGAATTTATCACTTTTGTGTGTATGAGAAGATGCAAGAGTCTAGGATTATTGAAATCATTCTTTTGATAAGCACCTTAGCTATCCCAGACCAGTATCCTACTCCTTCCCATCCTGAGGGGGCACCATTGTGGGTAGCTTCAGAGGCTGCCGGCTTGGTGGCCTCAATATCCTTTGTTTACTGGCATGACAAGGAACACTGTTTGTCCACACTCAGAACTGAAGACTCTGCTGCCTGTTCAGGTTCTGTACCACCTCTCTGAATTCCTCTTTGACCAGCTGCATTGTTCAGCTTGTTTCTACTAGTTCTTTCCTATCAGCATTTCCAACTGCTTTAGTTTTTACTTTTTCAGAACGAAACAACGCCTGAGGTCTTCTCAAGCTACTGTAATCCTATTTTCTCATCCCCTTCAGAGGGGGGATTGTTGACATGCTCAAACTGCTGTAGTCTTCCTAGCATTATACTGAAATTCATCTTTAAAAAGTAGTTTTTAAATATAATTCTAAAAGAAACATGTACCTCTATGGTCATAGCAGCACTGTTCACAATAGCCACAACATGGAAGCAGCCTAAATGTCCATTGACAGATGAATGGATAAAGAAGACGTGGTACATGCATACAGTGGAATACTACTCAGCCAGAAGGAGGAGGAAATAATGCCATTGCCGCAACATAGACACAACTAGAGATTGTCATACTAAAGTGAAGTAAATCAGAAAGAGAAAGACATATGATATCACTTGTATGTAGAATCTAAAATATGGCAGAAATGAGCCTATCTACAAAACAAAAAGAGATTCATTGACATAGAGAACATACTTCTGGTTGCAAGGGGGAAGTGGGGAGGGAGAGATGGACTGGGAATTTGGGGTTGGTAGATGCGAACTATTACATTTAGAATGGATAAACAACTAGGTCCTAATGTATAGCATAGGGAACTATATCCAATCTCCTGTGATAAACCATAATAGAAAAGAATATAAAAAAAGAATGTATATACATGTAAAACAAAAAACAAGTTTTTTTTTAAAAAATTTATTTTTGTAGTAGTGTCAATACACAGACCTAGAACAAAACTCAAGAGCTACAAAATGTTAAATAGTCAAAAGTGAGTCTCCTCACTACCTCATCACCCCAGCCTCCCCTACCCCAGGGTTGACCTCTGTTAACCATTTTCTGGTGCCTCTGCCCTCTTATCCGAAGGCCCCATGACTTGCTCTAATTCTCATGGTCTTGGAGATTGTGCAGAAAGAGTAGAAACTTTGCACTCATATTAAGCTCATAGAGCCTGGCTCAGTAATAGTTCTGTCAATCATCAACCACCCCTTCTGTTCTATAATTTTGATTTTCCTTCTTTGGTGGCTTTTCTCTCTCAACCTTTTAAAAATATTCCCAGACCGTGGGACCCCCTTTAACTAGTCCGCCTTCTCTTCTGCCTTAAACACCCTATGACTACCTTCTGTGACCCCCTTCTCACTTTCATTTCCTGTCTAATCCCTGGGCAGCCTGACATGGTCCTCACTGCTCCGGTAAAACATCGCCGAGCTCTCTCTCTCTCTCTGGAAGTGATAACTCCCTTGTGTGAATTTCCATAGCCCTTTAATGATCTTTTTTGTGTGTGTGTGACCTTCCATTCTCTGACTTGGGTAGAGCTGTCTGTGTGCCTCCTTCATCTTAGCATCCCCACAGCATCTGACCTGGTGCCTTAAACACTGTGCACCATGTGTTCTCACTGAGTGGCAGTTGACTCAATGATGGGATGATTCAGAGACTGTCTAGTCATCGTGTACAACAATCCAGAGCTTGGGTGGATCGGTGAAAATGCAGAGGAAGAGAAACCTGCAGTGACTTGAGGCTGGCTGGAGCGGGGAGGGAGGAGCAGGTTCTCAGCTGCAGTCAGCCCTTTGGTCTCAGAGGATTTGCCCGAGGCAGCAGAGACTCCCAGGATTTCCAGCACGTCATGCTGGGTGCCTGATGGAATTTGCGGAGCCCCCGGCCTTTGCCCGGAAGTTCAGAGCACAGTCTGGTGAGGTGAGTTCAGAGCACTGTGAGGCTGGTGGTTGGAGTCTAGCACAGAACATGAGGATCCAGGTCAGGGTGGGATGGCCAGGTGGAAATGCCAGTTGGCATTCCTTCCTGGGTCTGGAGCTTGGAGGAGAGGACAGCTCACCGTGCACGATGTTGGAGCCTTTAGCACAATGGTGTTCTTGGAAGCCTTAAGAATGAGAGGCACCCCTCCCCTATTCGGGGAATACAGGGAGGAGAGAAGACCAGGAGGACAGGATTGAACATGGGGGAATGTGCACCACCAGGGAGTAGGATGAAGAGGGAAAGCAGTGAAGGGTGAAAAGGAAATCTTGCTGGGAGGTGAGGGAAGACAGGGAAGGAGTGAATTTTAAGAAGGTCCCCTCAAGTATCGAACAGGAGTGAGGCCCAGGAGAATGCAGCCTCGGGAAAGCCCTTGAATTTGGCGAAGATCTGAGATGACCTGTAATGAGGCAGAGAGGTTTGGTAGGGAAACCCAGATTACAGCTTGGCTGGAAGGGTGAGTGGGGAGAGCAGACGCAGCCTGGAGTTGTGGGGTGTCGGCTGATGTGGGGGCAGTGGGCACCATCAGGGGCAGAGTGTCCTGGAGGGCAAACAGCAGAGGACACCCAGCTCTGTAGTGGGGGCCCAGGAAGGGAGCAGGGTGTAAGTCCACCTCTGTACAAACTGTAGAGTTCTCGTCTTCTCGGAGCATTCCTCAGATTTTTATATCTATCTTAAGTGTTTGTGTTTTGGATAACCTACATTCACATGATTCAAAATTTTAAAGAATTTCACACACACACACACACACACACACACACAAACTTTATCCTGAGAAGTCCTCTTCTCTCCCAGGTACTCTGTTCTCATGCTCCAAGGCAGCCACCCTTGCTGGTTTCTTGTCTGTCCTTCCAGAGAGAGTCAAAACATATACAGCTATTTTTTTTTCCTTCAGCCATTGCCCCGCCCTCCTTTTTTTAGTTTTTTAACATAAACTAGAGAAACATCTTACACTGGTCTGTATTTTTCTTTTCTCACCCAACAATGTATCTTGGAGATCAGTCCCTTCTAATACATAAAAAACTTCCTTGTTCTTTTTTTACAGTTATGTAGCATTCCATTTTCAAAGTATACCATAATTATCTAACCAGCCTGCTATTAACAACATGTACTTTATATTCAGTCTTTTGCTGTTACAAGCAAGGCTGCAATAAACTTGAGTCATTTCACTTATGTATGTGCTTTGAAAATGAATTCCCCCCCATCCCCAACAAAGAATATTTGCATGTTAAATATTTCCAAGCTGCT